TTTAATTTTTCCTCCCTTTGATTCTCACCCTGGCTGCGAGCAAAGTGTCTTCATGAGCGCAGAGGATGTCCGGGAAGCACTACAAGGGGCCTGAAGTCAGTTGTTGCATCAAATATTTCATCTTCGGCTTCAATGTCATTTTCTGGGTAAGTGGGCCGGTTACACGGTGCTTCGTATATTCCTCTGCCACCTTTTCCTCCTCCTCCCTCGCCGCCGCTCCCGGGCTGGGCATGGCCAGAAATGAAAACTGAGGGACGTGTAAAAACGGAGCTGGGGGCCGTGCGTGACAGTTGGGCGCGGCGGTTGGGGATTTGAATGGGGTTTTCAGGGGGCGCGAGGCCGGAGTAGCCCTTCCCCGGGCAAGTTGGGGTGCTGCGTTCCTGCACCTCCGGAGGCTGCCGATTCCTTTTCCCTTCCGGCCCTCCTAATTGCTTTTGTTTTAGATGTGAAGGGGGTTTCTTGCCTTTTTTTGTTTGTTTTTGGTTTTTTTTTCCCCTTTTTTTCCTCCTCCCTCCTTCTTTCCCCTTCGTCTGCTTTGTGATGGGGGAGGAAGACGCTAGACACCCAGGCCTGGAGAACGAATTGATCTGCATGTTTTCGTGCTGATATGCCTGTTAAATAAAAAATAGTTTTAAAAAAATCACAGCTCAAGTTCTCTGAACAGTGCTGTTTAAGGCAGTGATTACACAATGACGGGGTTGTGTATGGCAGGGGTTTATTGTGATTAGCTATTACCACGTAGTAGTAGTAGCAATAATAGGATGGAGGAGGGAGGAAACAGTATTCCCACCCATGCCTAAAATGCAAGCCCATGGGAGGCTTGGTTGGGCATTTGCAGGGATTCTTGGCTGTGCTGCTTGATCTCACAGTGTCTTGTTGAACCATTCTAGCACTGGCTATAGAGTAGGCAGAACTGTATGGTGAAATGTAACCTGCATACAATAGTATTTCTAGCATCTTCTCAATGTGTTGGATTTGAAAGAGAAGCAGCTGGTTTTGGATGTGCATGCCAAATTTTGTAACCACAAGGGGAGGGGGTGAGCACTCTCACGTGTACATAAATTAGGAGGTGTTATCACTGCACAGAATGTTAAAGTTGGGTGAAGGCTCTTACACGTACAATCCCCCTGTTTTCATGAGATATTCCATTTAACAATGAGAAACATGCACAAACCCAAGTGGGGTGAATGTGGTTTTGGGGGGCTCTGAAGGCAAGTTGAGTCCATATTTGGTATAGTGGCTTCTTTGGACTAGAAAGGTGAACTGGGGAAAAAAAATCACCTTGAAGTTTTATGGATAAAGGTGGGGAAGACTAGAGGGGAGAAACCTAACCAATACTGAGCTTGTGATCATCACCTTGGTGACAATAGAGGAGGGTGGTTACATGGTGAGCAGGTATTCATAGGTAACCTCATGTCTGTGTTCCTGGAAAGTAAAAATACCTGAAAAGCATGTTTTAGAAGGATGGAAGTTTTGATTAATTACATTTTTATACTGAAATATTTCTTAATCAAGAAAGTAAGCTGCTAGAGTGAAGTTGACTGTGTCTTTATGTCAATGTATACTTGGCCCAAGACTGACCCGAGATGAGCGGTTGCAAGCTTTGTAGTATTCTGACCCTATGGTAGCTGTTTTTATTGTACTACTTGCTCAGTTTTTGGTGGTTGAGTTTGCCACGGTTCTTTTCACTTGTTTGTTGTTTTCATTTTGCTTCCCCTGTGCATGTGTTGCAAGGAACAGAGTAGTGTGAGGAACACTTGTGTACACTGTCCTTGGACTAAAAGAGGCAGGTTATGGTGAAATATACATAAATGTGTTATCTTGCTCCTTCAGGCACTGTCAGTCTATAAAAAGCTATATACCCTGTAATTTCCTTCATCTTATTCTCTGGAGGTTAACATGCGGATGGTGCAAGTGGGGAAACAGTATCTTTTAGGTATTTTTGTGGCTAGTCATTTTCTTATTCCCGTGTTGTTGAGGCAGATGCAGCCTAACTTTTGCATGGTGTGGTAGGTGTTCCTCTGTTGTAACTGAATGGATAAAAGGGTATCTCGCTAGGCCATGTGGTTTTATACTGCTGGAATGCTAATCTGAAGACCTGGGTGTATGTACCACTGCCATTTGCTTGATGTGTGGCCCTTGCTTACAGATTTCCCTTTTTGCAAAATGCTGATCATCTCATTTGTGTCCTTGGATAAACTTCTTGAAATTCGACAGAGACAAAACGCTTTATAAGAGTTTAGTAATTTCTTCAGAATATTGTAATCTCTTTATGAGGAAACTTGCATTTATTACTATGTCTCTCATGATTTGGAGTGAAAACATGGGCAGTTACTCTTGTAGAATACATTTTAATACTGTTTTTACTGAATTAATAGCAAACCCTTCAATAGTCTATGATGAAACTGGGCCAGAAAAGCTGTAAATGAAAATTGCTTGCTTGTTTGGCTGTTCTCGGAGAGCGATACTAAAAAATAGCCACTAATGTAGTCATTGTAAATAGATTGAAATGATGAAGAGGTCATCATATTAACCCCATGACACTCTCCAGGGACCTTGCAAACATATGTAGAACACCTTTGTTAAAACTTCTACCTAAGCATTATTATATAGTGGTTTTAACAAAAACTTTTAACATTTAAATGTAAACAAATGGGAAAATACTCTGTATTCTGCATCATAAAACAATAGACTAAAAATAAAGACAAGTGAATTGGAAGAGTAATGGTTTTGACAAGAAAATTGTCAGTGCCTTGAACAGAGAAATATTATAGATCTGCTGAAATTATGTGGGGAATGATTGTACATGCTACTTAAACTGGAGATATTACAAAAAATCAGAGGCTTTATATGCCACACAATACGGGCAAAATAAAGTTTCAGACTTTTTTGTCAATTTTTTGGTTTTGTGCTGGTCTGTTATTTTTTTCCTGAAAAAACACAACTAAATTATTAGAATAATGAATATGGGAAAGTTGCACTCTAATGCTGCGTATGTAATTGTAACTAAAGGGGACAGTATGCTTTTTATGAGATGGTTCTCAGTCTTACACCACCCCAGATAGACGTGAACATGTTAACTGTGTTTCATACCGTTGTAGAAGACAGTATTATCTGTTGGATCTATGCATAATTAACTTGCAAGCTTAATTTTTATTTTGAAATAGAGTATTAAAGTTGGTAAATATGCTGGAAGTGTTTATTTAGAAAAACATATTTTATGAGATCACAATGTTCTCGTGGAAAAGGAAAGCTCATTTGGCACTCATCAAAGATGTAGGAACTGAGACCAAATAGGCACAGCTACATCTGAGTCAAAAGTTAGAACTCAGTATTATGCCTCCCTTCCCCTTGCTCAGCTGCCATTCTTCTGCTGGTTGTTCATTAGGGCACACACCTGGGCTTGAACTGGATTAGTGTAATGCCTGTATGAAAGCACCACATTATGTTTGTTACCTTTCTAGGCTGGTGGAATAGACAGTGCTTTTTTTGTGAGCCTTTATGTCTTTGTCTAGGTAAACCATAATGTAATCTGATATAAATGAGAGCTGCAGCCATAATGTAAGGTAATGGAAAACATTTTTCTGTAGTTAAAGCAAACAAACAATGCCTCCTGCCTGCCTCTCCCCTTAGACTTCCAGGTAGAATGATGTCCAAGGTACAATGAAAGAAATATACAAGTAGGCCACCCTGCTTCCCAAAAGGCAAGAACCATTTCCCCTTCTTTCCCCTTCTACTTTTGCAAGACAGTTTTAAGCTGATTTTTAGTTCCAAGAATTGTTGTAAATTGTTCTTTGTGCTTTGTTATACTTGATGGAAACTGTGGAGATATACTATTGTTTAACTCCGAATTTCAATCCACACTTGATTCCACTGACCCTAGCTTAGTCGGAAAGATGTACAGAAAGCATTGATACCTCAGAGACCTTTGCTTTATTTGATGTTTCACTGTAAGTTGTGAGATATGCTGCTATTATGATACATCAGCATATTACAAGCCATAATTTGTGTTTTAATTTGCTTGGCATCTGCTGATTTTGATGGCAACCATATGGGAGTCTATATAGTCTTCTGAATTACAGGAAGATAGTGGAAATAAAACTGATATAAGGTTATATTAAGTGTGTTATGGGAAAAGTGTTGGAAAAGTGCACTGACCTTTAAGGGACAGCAAATAGACTGCTTATTAAATTTTGTGCATTGTTGAGAGTTTGTTTTCAAAGGGACAGAAGATAATTTTCTGATGTCAGCTAGTTTTCAGATGGAGGAAAGTTTTTGTTATGGAATTTTCCCTTGCCAGAGTGGTTAAAAAAAAATAAAGAAATCAATGTGAAGCTTGTTCCCTGCAATTTTCAAATGCATTATCTAGCATTTGGTTGTTAAAAAATTGCATTGGGAAGATGCCCTTGCAGTGGAAGTGGAAGCATTCTGTTCATTCTTCCCCTGCTTTTATGATCAAATGTTTTTGTTTTTTTTTAATTTAATTTCTTATTGGCACAGATAACTTGGAGAGTTGTCACATTTCACAAGTGGTCTTGCCAGAAACAGAACAATGGCAAGAACAGAACTTGTCTTGGGAAAATACACAACTGTTTTGTAATAGTGCAAGGTGGTGATGTACATATTGATGAAGTAGATGCATTGCTGTGAGCTTGGGATTCCTGAATTCCTCTGTGTTTCTTTCAGCAGATGTAGCCCCAGTCTTTTAAATGCATATAAAAATATAGTAACTCTGCTGGCTCCAGGGGACTTGCTTCAGATTTGTAGAGATCATTCTTGGAATAAAAATTTTTCCTTGCCCTGCCTTCCCTTGTAACTTTGTGGCTGATTGGATCACTGGTTATACAAAAAGAAATAGATGAGGAACATGGATGAAGCTGTTTCCTTTCTCCTAAGTGTTTGTTTTGCCAAAACTAGGTGTTTGTAAATATGTTATTGTTTTAAGCTATTTGATGTTTCTAGTTTATAAAAAATTGAAGAAGCACAAGGGCACAAGAACTGGGAAAAAAAATTGTGATTGTGTGACTTCTCGTGTTTGATGTTAATGTACTTCAAGTGAATTTTATTGGAACTGTCAAGTGCAGCTTACATACTTTTCTTCTGTGTTAGAGATGAATTTAGTAAATGTATACCAGTCTCCCACCTT